TTTTAAGATTTCGACGTGAAGAAGACAGAATCTTATTGTAAGACATTCATTTTTTTTCTCGCTTTTTCCTTCAAATTATGTGATATATTATTATACTTTCGTACATTTTTTCCCTTTATGATGAGTAGTTACATCATTAATTGGGACAAACGATATAATGTATCTTTGAACATTTAATTTCAGTTATCATGTTTTGCATATTTAATTGATTTATTTTTACTTATGTTATTATTGCTTGAACTACTTGATCACTAGGTCATGATTTGTTGTACAAAATCTAGAGAAGAGTTTTAATTTTAGATAGTGTAGTAAAAATCGGCCATGGGGTATAAGAATGATTAAAAATCCTAATTAATTTCAGTGGTGTATCGTATTACATTATATAGAGCTTTACAAGATAGTATAAATGGAATACAAATCAATAATTTACAATGAAATGGAAACCGTGTAAATTAGCCTCCTTCAATTACGTGATTGGCATTGGCATGCAATGGGAAGATTGTGATTGAGGAGTAATATCCTCAATCACAGTATTATTTCCAACCCCCCCCCCCCGGAAGCTCAACGTCGGATTTGATCGGATATGGAGCTTGGAACGAAAGAGCTCAAATAGAGGTCGAGGAACACTCTTGGTAAAGATATTAGCAACTTGGGGATGAGATGGGACATATTGTGTACGAAGTTTTCCCGCGACAACAAGCTCACGAAGAAAGTGGTAGTCCAATTCAATATGCTTGGCCCACTTGTGTGAAATCGGATTGGAGCTTTAAAAAATGGCACTTTTGTTGTCACATAAGAGAGTGGGCCGCTGAGGCATGGATACCTTGAGGTCATGCAGGAGATGTGTGAGCTAGATAAGTTCAATGGCAGTGGAGGCAAGGGCATGATACTCAGATTCACAGCTGGAACGAGAGACAGTCGGCTGTTTCTTGGCACTCCAGGAAACTAAATTGTCGCCAAGATAGATAAAATAACCAGAGGTCGAACGACGAGTATCCGGGCAGTCGGCCCAATCAACATCAGAATAGGCTACAAGAGCACCAGGAGAAGTGGAAGGGCGAAAATGTAGGCCATGGTGAATGGTGCCTTTAACATAGCGGAGGATGCATTTAACAGCCAGAAAGTGATCATCAGTGGGAGCGTGTAAGAATTGACTGACAGAGTTGACAGCATGAGCAATGTCGGGTCTTGTGATAGTCAAGTACTGTAGTGCACCGACGAGGGATCTATAGAGAGTAGGGTCTGAAAACAGAGAACCATCAGCGGAAAGATGTTGAGAAACAACCATGGGCGTGTGAACAGGTTTACTGTCAAGTAATTGAGCTCGAGTAAGAATGTCCCGTGCATATTTGAGCTGACTGATGAAGAGACCATCAAAAGTTGGAGTGGCTTCAAGACCAAGAAAATAGCTGAGAGAGCCTAAGTCCTTAGTGGCAAACTCAGAGTTAAGTGTACGAGTGAAGCGGGCAAGAAGTGAAGAATTGTTGCCTCTAATAATGATATCATCAACATAAAGAAGTAAATAGATAATATCGGACTTCTGATGAAAGACAAATAGAGATGTGTCCGCACGGCTGCAAGAAAACCCAAGGGGCTTTAAGGCGTTCAACAGATCCATCAGGTAAGTATTTGGTTCGGAATATCCATTTGGAGCCACAATGTTGGTGTTGGCAGGGTGAGGTACCAAAACCCAGGTGCGATTATTTTGTAATGCATGAATTTCTTCATCCATGGCAGCAAGCCAAGCAGGATTTTTAACAGCAGATTTGAAACCTTTGGGCTCAGTCGATGCAAAAAGAGCAGAAAGAAGACCAGAAGAGCCCATCAGAAGAGTCCAAGAAACTAAAATTGGCTGGATATCGAGTCTTGAAAATGCCAGCTTTAGCTCTTGTAAGCATAGGATGAGTGGCCAACGGGACCACTGCAGTAGGTGTGGGATCTGCACCATGTTCAAGAGACGATGAACTTGGAACCGAGGTCTGTAAAGAAGCACCTGCAAGAGAATGAGGATCCTGCAAAGATCAATCACTGGATCAGTACATATAATACATGGATTAGAACTGGATTGAGTGAGTTGTGAAGAACGAGTGTCAGGGAGTAGGGGAGGTGGATCTGCATGGGTGAGGCTAGGTTCCAGAAAATTGGAAAAGTTAAGGGAGGATATGGGTTGAGCCTGAGAGGTAGCAATGGAAGGAAAATGAGTTTCATCAATTTGAGCAAGGCAAGTAATATAGAGCCTAGAGGTGGAAGGCTCGAGGCAACGAAACCCTTTGTGAGAGGGACTGTAACCTAAGAAAATACATGGGATGCTGCGAGGAGAAAATTTGTTAGGCATATAATCTCGTAAGCAAGGATACACACGACAACCAAAAGGGTGAAAGTTTTCATAGTTTTGAGGGTTACCATACAAAATCTCAAAAGGTGATTTACCTCCAAGGAGTGGTGTAGGCAACCGGTTGATGATGTAAGCTGCAGTGCTGAACGCGTCAACCCAAAAGCGAAGAGAAATGTGGGAGTGAAAAAGGAGTGCTAATCCCATCTCAGTTACATGGCGATGTTTTCTTTCAGCACGACCATTTTGGGCGGGTGTGTATGGACATGAGAGCTGATGGTGAATGCCACTAAAGCGGAGATGATCTTGGAAGAAATTACTGGTAAATTCACCACCGCCGTCACTTTGGAAAATTTTAATTCGAGTGGAGTATTGATTTTCCACAAATTTTTGAAATTGAATAAAAATGTTATAAAAGTCAGATTTCAATTTTAAAGGATAGAGCCACGTGAAACGAGAATAGTCATCAATAAAAATGACATAATAGACAAATCCTAAATTAGATTTGACTGGAGACGGACCCCAAATGTCGCAATGGATAAGATCAAGTGTTTTCGATGACCTATGTTCATTTCGAGAATAAGGCAAGCGATGACTTTTAACAATTTGACATGTGCCACATAAAGTTAGAGAAGGCAACAAAAATGTAAGATAAAGCTGGCCTTTTTTATTCAATAGAGAAATAACAGAATGATTGACATATCCAAGTCGTGCATGCCATAAATCATAGGACGCACGAAGCGATTTATTTTTAAGAACAGAAATAAAAGTAGAATGACTTCGCTAAAGCACATATAAGCCTCCATCACGCTTGCCGGTTGCCACCACCCTTCCTGTTTTGCGATTCTGAACAGTGAATATGTTATTAGTAAAGGTAACGGATAAAGGAAAATCTGATGTTAATTTACTGATGGAAAGTAAATTCTTGGTAAGGCGAGTTACAACTAGGACATCAAGAAGATGTAGATTTGGGAAAATTTTTACCAATATGGGTAATGGGTAGTGAGGCACCATTCCCAACAATCACACAATCCTTACCCATGTAATTTGTGGCCTAATCCAATTTAGAGTGATCCATGGTCATATGGGCTGAAGCCCCTGTATCCAAATACCAGTTAGAGCCCACATCTTCATTTAGAGAACAAGATCTCGTGAAGGCTTCAGCAAGGTGAGCTGGTGTCTCATTCCGATCATAGCATTGAAGGCACCGATCGGCAAAGTGGCCATCCATCCTGCAAATCTGGTATCTTGGTGGACGACGCCATTGGCTGTAGTTGGAGCGTCCTTGTCCACGACCAGATGAACTGCTGCCACGCCCACCGAAGCGACCCCGATGACTACAAGAAGAGCCACCACAATGGGTGGAATTTTTTGTGACAGTAAAGGCTGTCACTGCTGGAGAAGATGAGTCAAGGGATTTCTGAAAAATTTCAAAACTTTCGGCCTTTGAGACTAAATCTGCAAATGAGGGCAGAAAAGTTTGGGCCATTTGTGCTGTGGAGAAACTAGAGAAATTAGTACCGAGCCCGCGGAGAAACCAGTGCACCTTGTCAGTACCATCAACTGGACAACCAATTACATGTAGTTGATCACAAATTGCTTTGAAGGAACGGGCATACTCAACAACCGATCTATTGCCGCGTTTCATTAATTGTAAGTGATCCTTAAGGCGTAGTTCTCGAGCTTTAGAACGATGGCTAAATGCATTTTCTAGTGCCAGCCACACGTCTCGTGCGGTGGAGAGGCCAACTACCTTAGCCATGGCTTCCTCTGTGAGGGAGGAAAGTAACAAACTGAGGAGACGCTGATCAATAACTTTCCATGCTAGGTATTTGTCACTTGGCGTGAGAGAAGTAGTAGCGTCAAGTTTTGGGGGCTGCACAAGGGTGCCATCAACACGTCCTAATAATTCTTGACTTTCAAGAAGAGGGAGGAGTTGGGCTTTCCAGAGAAGATAATTTGAGGAGGAAAGTTTAATAGTGATAATGTGGATTAAGGTATTGAAAGGAAGAAGAGTGGCAGAAGTTTCAGAAGCCATGAAGGGAAGAAGAAGAATAGGATATGTGGTATATATGTTAAACCACTTGGCTCTGATACCATAAGAATGATTAAAAATCCACCTTAATTTCAGTGGTGTATCGTATTACATTATTTAGAGCTTTACAAGATAGTATAAATGGAATATAAATCAATAATTTACAATGAAATGGAAACCATGTAAATTAGCCTCCTTCAATTACGTGATTGGCATTGGTATGCTATGGGAAGATTGTGATTAAGGAGTAATATCCTCAATCACAGTATTATTTCCAACAGGGTAAAAGGTTGAAATACATTTTTACCATTATTGCGATCTATGTAGTCCTAGGTGATTAATGTGGTTAAGTAAGATTTATTTAAATTCATTTAGATAGTGAGTTGACTTAAATAAATAAAATCTATTTGAACTCCAAAAAAATATACTGATTTAATTTGTGAATTAGCCAAGTAGAATTTTAGGAACTAAACTTGAGAGGTAAGATTAAAGATGATAAACTATGGTAAAATAGTGAGTCGTAATATTTTAACCATCACATTTAATCGTTTATTAAAAGAATTTGAGATTAAAATGAATCTTAAAAAATAATTAGAAAATGTGTACCGAGGGCTAACCATTTGAACAATAATTGGAGAATGAAGCTGCAAATTTCTCTGTTGGACAAAGGAACAGTATTTCATCCTCAAGGAGGCAAATCAATGCATCAGCAGCAGAACCAACGCAAAACACCACGTCAATCAACCAACCCATAATTGGTAAGAATCAATAATTTCTCTTGCATCCCTACCTCCTCTCTTTCTCTCTTTTTAGTTATACCCGATTTGTAGACTCTCTCTGTCTCTCTCTCATAATCTGAATCTCTGTGAAACAATGCCCAAAATAGGGCGGCCCTTTCTTCTTTAGCTTTTAGTACTCTTTTTTTATTTTTTCTCTTTAGGGTTTTGTTCTCTTGTTCATTCCCCTCTATATATTGAAACATGCCTCCTTTCTGCAAGAATATCTTTCTCTAACCTCTACTTAGCCGAAATCTAGAAACCCCAATTCTCTTTGTTATTACGAATACTATACATAATTTTGCTTTGTGGAGCTGATTTGCTGTGTGTTCATGCGTGGTGGGCTATTAGTATTATTGTGGGTAAAGTATAAACATGGTGAGAGAGAAGATCCCGATCAAGAAAATCGACAACACGTCGGCCCGGCAGGTTACTTTCTCCAAGAGAAGAAAAGGACTGTTAAAGAAAGCTAAAGAACTCTCAGTTCTTTGTGATGCTGATCTTGCTCTCATCATCTTCTCCTCCACAGGGAAGCTCTTCGACTTTGCCAGCTCAAGGTTTCTCTCTCTACTCTCTCTCCGTTTGTGTAGATAAATATGTAGGTGTAGTGGATTACACATGGTGGAAGATTGATGAGTGCCGCCACAAATTCTCTAGTAGACCATAAGCTCGAGTCTGGTTTGATTGTATTCCTTATCAATCTCGTCTGCAGTTCGTAGTAATATAATAATCTGCTTGCTTGATATTGTCACAAAGAATAGAGAGTGGCCAGGTTTGATGGAAAGGGATGAATCGTTCAGAAAATATCTTCTGATTACTGTCAGCTGAATAGAGAGTATTCATTCTCATCTTATCACTTCCCAGTCATTTGTTGTCTTAATTAGTTTTCATATTCATTTTCTTGTGCTTTTGACAGTATGCCCTTTGCTAATTTATTTGATTAATTCCCCCATTGACTTTTACCTTAAACATTGATATTTTTGTAGAGTATAAGTAAGTGATAAAGTGATTTCTTTTTAGTGATAAATGAGATATGAACTTACCATACCTTACCAGTTTAAACTCTCGGTAAATAAAATACCAACTTTGGACAAACACAATTTAAAGAATGAATGTAAGAAGATCTAGGCAATGGTTGAACTCTTTGTCTTTACGATAAATTTTCCCCACACATGTGCCGACGGAGGTTTGACAATTGTCTTCAAGATACAATAATCAACTTCTTATGATGACAGCACTTCGAATCACAAGAAACAGCAAATCGAATGTGAAGTTTTCTACTCCTTTTTGTGTGAAATGGAACAAGATTTTGAGGCAGAATTTTGGCGAGATAATGATGTTGTGTGATAAGCTTTGATTTCCTTTTTGTGTGAAATGGAACAAGATTTTGAGGCAGAATTTTGGCGAGATAATGATGTTGTGTGATATGCTTTGATTGCATAGATGAATTTGAATGAAACCATCACATAGGGGTCCAATTTAAATAGGTTGAAGAGTTGCACATGAAGTGACACAACCCAATCTTGAACCCGTTCTCGAAAAGTTGCACAAGTATGTGGTCGCTTGCTAACAACCTAGTATTCTATTCGAGTGCCCACAACAGGGACAGCGCCGCTTACTAAGCTCATGGCGGAGGTTTGATTTTAAATTTCTCGGTTTTAATTTAAAAAAATATGATTTTTAACATAACTTCATTGACCATTTCTCGTTCATGCAGAAATAGTTTTTAACTTCCAAATATACCAAGCTCATCTATTTGACGAGTAGAACATGTTCGATCCATTTCTCACAAAAATTTGAGTAGCAGGACCCATCTAAATATTTGTTCAAAGATTGGTAAATCAACTTTCTCAACTATTTTTCAACAATTTTTTTCCTTAAAAGAATGTTAGTGGATCTGTAAATATTTTTACTAGTGCATTTCTCTCTAGTTTCTAGCTAAGCTCTTGATTAATCCTGGTTTAATATTGTATAGAATCAAATTCAAAATTTGGTCTTGAGGCACCTCGAGAGATTTTGATCTCCTGAAGTTTTATATTTTCTACTTTAGTTCTTTCAAGCATTGATAAATACTCTGCCTACATAGTATCTTGTTTGAAAAAACGGAGACAGTTGGTGCCTATTGGGATGCTCATCTTCTGTGTGAGTGTATATTGAATTAGAGCATCTTTCAAGAGGTTCTTTAAAAATGAAATGCTCTCTATTTTAAAGAGTCGACCCTTAAACTTATACTCTCCAAGAGACTTTTCTAACTAACATATTAAAATAGAGAGTGAGTTACTTTCAAAATTAAGCGTTTAAGATAAAGAAGTCGTTGAAGTATTTAAAATTTTTTGCTCTCTAAATCCATAGATGCTCTTTGAATTGTAAAATATGCTCTTTAAAAATGGAGAATTTCTTAAGGACGCTCTTAGGGTAGTATATATGAGTATAGGGAATGTCTTCTAGGAATAAGAGGGATTCATGGTTGAATCATGAAGGTTCTATTAGGGAGAGATTGAATTTAATTTATATCAGCCAAGGCAATATTCATTGTTTTCTACCTCAATTTATCAATTGATAGTTTGCTTAATTGAGGTTGGAGAAGACCATAATAAAAGCTTGGGCAATGATTTGGCCAATCTTGAATTCACAACCATTCTGCATGATATTTCTACATCCTCGAAGTAATATTGACGTTTGTGGATGTGCAAGATTTTTGATAGTTAGTGCTCTTAGATGGATTCATTCTTCTATAAAATCTTGATATCGAGTTAAATAACTACCTTATCTAAAAGTTCTACACAACTAATGAAATGGATCAATAAGCTTTTTGTACCTATTCCCAGTATACATTCTTGAAAAAGTAGGCCGAATTGATTTCTTTTTGACAAATGTATGCTCACATGGTAGACCAAGAATTTCGAGGATGCAGAGTTTGAGTTGTATTTGAATGACGTTGAGATTTAGTACATACTATAGTTGTGTCTTAACTTTAAATTCTTTAATATTGAACTTCAAAGGAATATTTCTTAGCTCATATGTCAAATGTTTTCCGGTATAGAACATGTTTGTTACGCATTATAACACAATTTGAGATTTTATTTATTTATTTATTTTTTATTTATTTTTTACCTTCCCTAGTATATTTCGCTCAATTCAACACACCAAATATTACATCAAGTTACTATCTAATATAGACAGTAGCATGTGTAGCATAAAATAAATCATAGGTTAGAGTTTATTCTTTTGATCTTACCCTGTCTTTGATTTACTTCTCTAGTTAAGATAGTTGACATCTTTTTTTCCTAAGATATGCATGTTGGAATTAATGGTTTAATAAATAAAAATTAAATGTGTGAATTGAAAATGTCTCCAATACGTATGTTGATTGTTTGTCACTCTTTAAGTGCAAAAGGTGCATAATAAAGAGTCACGATACTAATAAGGTGCAATCTTGACCATCAATCTACAAATGATGTGATCTAATGGTTGGAATTAATTTGGGACAAAAGATTCAACTAATTGAAGAGACGTGAAAATCTATATATAGGATCCTCCTAGTTCCATTACTCCCCTCCTAATTATTTCCTCTCCAAATTATGTCAAAATAATTTCCAATTTTTTTTTTTTTTGTTAGAATTTTTTGGTACTAGAAGAGTAGGTCAAGCATTGGTTTACCTGTCAAAATTAATATTGTGCTATATTAGTTTTGGAAGAAGCATTGTATCTTGACGAGATTTGTATTCGCATACATTGCTTCATTTCATTTTCTTCTAATTTCTACGTTTCAATTAGTCGAAATTTGTACGCGTATCTTGGTTTCAGTAAGTCAAAATTATATTCGATATTTTTGCAAGTGTAAGTTGCAATTTTATCTTCTTTGTAAATGAAATATAATACATGCACCTAATTACAAAAGGCCATAGACAAATAATTGATTTTGAGTTTTATTTTGGCATGACATGAGGTCAGAAACTAAGACCCGGAACTGATCTTGCTTGTTTAATTGGCTGGTAATTAGCTTTAATGAGAATACAACTTTAGAGATGAATTATCATTTCATGTCATGTTAAGTTTCCAATTTTGATTTTCTAAGAGGCAATTAATGATGTACATGAATAGTAGAAGATAAGATTTAATGCATATGTCGTTTCTTTTAAATGATGTAATTTTTAGATTAGATGATTAAAATGATATGAGAGTGACTAACAAGATTTGGGTTAAGAGGCCATGCCACGTATTAAAAAAATTTTGCGTGACAAGTTTGATGGAAAAAATGAATCTATTCAACTTGTGGGAGTTGAAGGCAAGATATAAATGAATACATATTATAACTAATAACTTCAACTTTTAGATGAGATGATTGTTGGTTAATATGGAATGAGACTTTTATATGCAGCTTGCAGCTCTGTGATATGTAATTGTAGTATTCTAGTTTTGTGATGTTATTTGTATTCAAGTGTTTATATCATACATGGTTGGTTTGAGAATATTGTCTTGGGTTTAACCTTAATTACCTTGTTAAGATGAATAAACTCTTATCATACTAGGTAATATTTGCTTGTTATGCTAGGTAATATCTTTAAAGATAATGTCATTCATAGTGAAGACTATCAGTAGTTATCCTATGTAACATATACATGACTGTTTGTTATTTGATGCAAACTACCGTGTGTATGCCTTGTAAGGAGACTATCGGTAGTTTGTCTATGTGGCATACACATGCCAATTTATGATTTGATGCACATGTATATGCAATGTAGGATGACTATCGGTATTCTTTACTATGAATAACATTACTCTATTTCTAATCTTTAAGTGAATTAGAATTTTTTCTTAACGTGCTCCAAGAGATGGAGGCTCACTCCCTATCTTGAAATTCAACTAACACATTGAATTGCTCATTTGATATTTTTGGACTCTTCCCCTTATGCTTAAGCCCTTAGAGAAAGGGTGAGACGTATTCATTTAAGTGTTGTCTTCAAAAATACCTGTGCTGGCCCTCTAAACTATGGGACATTCTAGTTGATGACGCAAGAATATTGACTATCTATGCATTTAGATTTGAAACTGTCCTTGTACTAGCTGCTCTGTTAGTACAATGAACAATTATGTGAGGTGTCCTCTCTCTCTTTTTTCGAGGGGTCTTCTAAAGCATGAAGAACATACTTGAAAAGCATGGTTTGCACTCAAAGAACCTTGAAAAGTTGGAACAATCATCTCTTGAGCTTCAGGTAATTTTTTTTTCTTTTAACATTCTTAATTGAATATAGCTCAGCAATTGAAGGTTTATCACTTGGTAATTAGTGTTGTTTGATAAAAATGGATTAATTAGCGCTCAACAATATTAATACTAAAAGCCGAAAATCATGAAAATTTCATCATTCCATATGATTTAATGATGCATAAGAATTTGCACTCACATAGTTATGCTATACTCTTTGGATATATGTTTGGTATACATTACTATACATTTCTTAATATTGTCTGATGTGGTCGAGTATACCTTATTAAATACGTAATTCTTTTATTTTGTCATCTTACGAATACATGCATACTTACAAGTAGAAACTGTGTTTTCGATTAATTTCTGAAAGAACGAGGGAATTGCTAAGCAGATAGTTGGGGACAGCAACTACTCAAGATTAAGCCAAGAAGTTGCTGAGAGAAGCCATCAACTAAGGTTTGCGCTTCCATAACTCCTTTTGATATGGTCGGCAGAAAACTTTGGCATGATATTTGTAAATATCAGGTACATGAGGGGAGAGGAACTTCAAGAATTGAGTATTGAAGAGTTGCAGAAGTTAGAGAGATCACTTGAAACCGGGTTGAGCTGCGTGAAAGAGAAAATGGTAAGTGCTTAAGATTGTGTACTGGGTTATATTTATGCCTTAATTGTAGAATTTTTACTTGGATTTCATAAATTTTTTACCTTGATAGAGTATTTTTATTTTACAGGATGAAAAAATCATGAAAGAGATCAATCAACTTCAACAAACGGTCACTATGCCAAACTTGTTAATACGATCTTTGGAGAGAGAAAACGTCTAATTAATTGTTTTCGTGTTTAAAATTAATATTTAGTACAATTACATGGTTCATAATTGAATTTAATTAAGTTTGCATCACCAGATTTTCATGTAAATATAGTCTTAAAATTATGAAATGTGCAGAGAATGGAACTCATGGAAGAGAATGAGCGTCTAAGACTGCTGGTATGAGCAGAAAAGAATATGCACCATCTTCATGCATGTGAGCACTTATAGTTTAAGGGAAAATTGACGATTTTATTTTTTGTATGCTGGAGATATCGAAAGGGGAGAAAAATATGATAGCAGCTGATTCTGCGAACATAGTCGAGGAGGAAGGTCAATCATCGGAGTCGATTACTAATGCTTGTAACTCAATTGGCCCTCCACAAGATTCGGATAGCTCAGATACGTCTCTCAAGCTTGGGTGAGTTCATTATTAATTAGCAATGTGAAATGTATCGTACTGAAAATGTTAAGTGAGAAAAAGAAATTAAAATCATATTTATTGTATGATCTAATCCTATATCATAAGCTATTTTAAAAGAGAATCATCCTTTCATCGATGAACTGTGGTTTCAATTTCCGTTATTCCTTTTTCAGCTTAATTTCTTTTCTTGCAGGCTGCCATACTTTAGCTGAAACAATGGAGCTAAACTTATAATTGTTGATGGATGGATGGATGATTACTTGCCGAATATGGATGTTAATATATATGCCTCTGTGTTCGGTTTCCTCCCTTCTTATGGAATCTATGAATTTGTATACTGAAAACTGATAATTAACTGCAGTATGATATCATGTCCGAAGTGTCAACCTTAAAACCAATTTCACTCGGCTTGTAATAATATATGCGGGGGTGGAGATGATGAGGTTGGTCCATATCTATTACTCGGCATTGTACCCCAGCGATGTTGGTGCGGCATCAATAGGATTGACTTTTTTATCGACCCAGCGTTCTTACAAAAATTGTGACATTATTATTCTACATTATAATATTTTCCTATGGATCGACCCTATAAGAAGGCCTTGCAATAAATCCAAGGAAGTATTTGATAATTGAAATGAAGTTATAGAAAGGAAACTATTGCAAGAGAATTTCCATTTGTTGGGCATTCTAATATAACATTAATTAGTGCATGTTTGATTCAGATAAAACTCAGCCTTCTCGGAAAAGTTGATAATTTATATTATTATATAAATTAATAATGTATAAAGAGACATAAATGCACATTTATTTTGCATATTTTACTTAGGTGTAACGCTATTCATAGTAAAGACTGACGGTAGTCTTGTACATGGCATACACATGAAAATTTGTTATTTGATGTATCAATATGGTAATTTTTTACTGTCTCATGTATCAGATAATATCATGTTATGTACATGTCATGTAGGATGATTATTGGTACTCTTCACTTGGGCCTACATGAAGTTTTGTGATTTTATTGATTTCACACCGGCAATAAAATGTTTCTCAGATTCCCCAAAGAAATATATGTCGTTTAATTAGATATTGATATCAATTTCTTTCCTAGAATTGATTTACTTTAATTACATGAAAAAAATAGGAATGATTGAAACACTAAAATGAAGAACTCACAAAGGCTACAAAATAAAAAAGAACATAACAATAAACAATGTGATAAATCGTTCTCAAAGGAAATATTCTAGAAAGTAAGGTATAAGTTTTAATTCTAGATGAGGTCTAAAAACAAATAATCATAAAAAGTAAGGTTTTTTGAAAGCACGTCTTTTATACAATAACAAGTCTTCGCTCGGGCAATGCACGGGTTGGGACATTTTGAAGTTAATGTTAATGTGTTCAATGTATAAGTATTGACGGGAGATATGTGAGTTGATTGAACAAAGGCTATTATTTTTTAACAGGTTTAAAGTACTTGAAAGAAATAACATCATAAACTGTGGTTATCTTCATGGATTTAAGAGCACAACTGGACGGAAGCAAATTTAAACACTATTGTTCAGCATACATCGAATATTGAAAATGCCTCTGAAACAAAAAGTCACCAATGCATTTAAACTGTCAGATTTAGGAATCAGATCTCATCATACCAAAAAAATCGACTTCAGCATGTTTAAGTCAATTTGCTACTTTAATGGACATTTCATAAGTTAACAAACATATTACAAGGATGAACAGTAAATCATACCTTTAACAGGACCACCCAGTTTTTGTTTGCTAATAGCCAAGCCAATTAGCATGGGCATGGTTTAATAATACCTTTCAGTCATCTTACCCATGGTTCGTAGTTGTTCGCTCTATCACCAGATATCACAAATCCATAGCCCTATGTGCATCCAGAATATTATCCGTACTATACTCAGTAATAAAAGGTAAAGATTTATCATTAGTTACCCATGTGACCTAAATGCGTTTATCCCTAACAAAGGAGATGTAAACTTACAAATGGCCATTTGTACCAAAAAATTAAAAAAAATCTATCAGGTATTGTACCAATAAATTAATTTCATTAAACAAATTTCTCAGCATTTCTTTATTTTGAAGTTTAAGATGCTCACATTTAACAAGACATTCTTGATATTGTTAAATAGTTAAATAGACTAACAGAGACTCCAACATACTCACAATAAAATGATTTTTGAAACTAAACAAATCAAACTTTAATCTAGTCATTACAGAGTATAATCGAGCAATAATTCATTAATTCTACAACTGTTAATACCTAAAATTCCTATACACTCAAACACCTTAAAATATTGCATACAATATATACTGCCTCTAAACATAATTAATCCACTCTCTTTCAAGAATTGAGTAATCAAGATGAACCATAACCAATTAATCATTTGAAACCCCCAAAAAACAAAGGAACTATAATTACATTAAATTAAAATTCAAGAACAATGAATCTCAAGTGAAGTTAATTTTTTCCTCAACTTCTCTTATAATATCAACAATTGACCGAAAACAAACTACTAAGAAACAATTTACTTTTTTCCTCCCTAATATCGGGTGAGAGGAAGGCTTTGGATTCCAGGGAAAATGAAGTGCTCTTGATGTTGTAGTTGAAAATACTCTGTGGTGGTGGTGGTGGTGGTGGCGGCGGCAATAGCGATGGCTTGTCAGTCAACATTATCAGAATTTTGGTCCAAAGATAATTGGTAAGGACAAATAAAGACAAACTAGAACAATTTAAAAAATTTACTTATCATCTAAGATCTATAAAAATACATTCACTTCTTATTTAAATTTATTTTTACACTTCTCCATCAAACTCCTTGAAATTAGAAGATAAAATTTGATCATCTGTGAAAAATTAACGAGCTTCCGGTAATAAATAGTCATGTACCCAGAAAAGCAGATAGTTAAAAAAAGTTGTACTTAGGTCTAACATCAAGGATCTATCCCACACAATATATAAATTCACTTTTATGCTAAAAGTAAGCTAATTTTTTCCCTAACCCAAATTTGTACTTATTCCAAACCGTGAATGTACTAAATTAAGAAATTAAGTTAAGAATAGAAGTTAATATATTGTAAAAAGAAAATAACAAATAAGAAATCAAGTTAAGGATAGAAATTAATAAGGAACTATGAATGTACTAAATTAAAAAACTAAGAACAATAAGAAACGAATTACCAAAGCAAGAATTATATAAGTAATTTACATAGTCTGTTTTCTGTAAAACGGATATAGCTATAAAATTTAAGGTGCAAAAATCTAACATGAAGTGGAAAAAAATTAAAAGATAAGACTGCACATTACTTGGCAACAAGAAAAGAAAAAAATCGGACTTTAAACGTAGTGTACTTGAGGATAACAATAAACTTGAGAGAGAAGATGAACAAAAGAAAGAGATGAAAAAATCTAATAATAACTTTAAATAGATGGTGAAGAAAATATTAAATTATTAAATATGATTGAAATAGAAAATGAGCAAAAATAAAGACAATTTTTTTTTTAAATTTATTTCTTCTTCACTAAGGTAGCAACTGCATTTAATTTCATTTGTAACCAGTTTAGTTATATATATAGAATAAATTAGTTAGTAAAAATATGTAATGGTAGAGAACAACTAACTTATGTAAGTAAATCAATTATTACAAGAAGAATTAACAATAAGGTAAAGTTAACAATAGATAATGACTAATTTATCATTAATTAAATAAAATATTGGAAGAAGTATTTATATAACCATTTAAAATCACCTAAAGCTAACAATATGTATTATGTAATTTGATTTTATAAGGTATTCGGATTTTAGAAGAAAAGCACTTTGTAAAAGAAACCAAAAACATATAGTAGAAATTAATTGAAATTGCAACCTAAACTTATACATACGTAGAGCCCAAGATATGCAAAATATTAACTATGACAGAATATACTTGAAGGATAAATATGTTATCTTCAATATCTTTTCTATAACTAAATTATTTGAGGAATATTGCAATAGTTATTATAATTTGTATCATGGGAATTTCCAGTTACATCTATTGAAGCATCAAAAGAACTTATATTTATTTTATCATTAGTCCTTTATTTGAAGCAAGTTATTGCATTTGCGTTACCTATAATAATCAAGAAAAATATGATTCCAAAATGATGCTGGGAAAAAAGACAAAGAATTAGTTTAACACATTCTGATTCAAATATAAAAGGATAAACCATCGATTCCTTAACGGAAGCCGAATATTTGCTTCCAGATCTATTTCTTTCTTTGCAATTGAAAGTAGCAACGTAAGTAATAATAGCATCTGGGAACGACTAAACAAACAATTTGGTATAAAAAAATGCAAGGAATGAGCTAAAGTTCTTTTCTTTTTCTTTTTTACTGGATTCTACCATCTATGTAATTAACTTGCTCATTCTATTAAACAAAGTATAAATACCAATAATTCCTTATGAGAGTTCAATAGTGAAACTTTAGAACACCATTAGACAAATAATATATGATATTATGCAATAACTTGTAAATCTATCTTTAAAGAAACTACACAACGAGCAAACAAATTAAACTACATATAAAATCCTAAGAATGTAGAAAAAGAAATATTCAACCAACAAAAAAAAAATAATCTTCAATTGCAATAAAATTAAAATAGTCCAGACAATTTAAAAGAAGAAAGAAGACTAATTGAAAAACTCAGAATTTTTTTTTTTTTTTTTTTTTTTTTGAAAAACATGAATCAACTCAACTTATATTTCAAAAACCTTACTTGACAGAGATCTTACCACTACAATCTTCGATTCTACAATCAGTTAATGTAATGGAGCCCTATGCACATACGCAATAGGATACAAAATGAATTCACAATAGAAAATATTTAGAGGTAAAATTGTCTAAAAGGAACGAATTTTAATAAATTATTTCAAAAATAATGTTACCTAAAAGAAAGAAATATAAAAATATACATACTTTAGGTTATCAATGTCCAGTTTCTCCACAACTTTGTTGGTAATTTCTATACAATTTTATCGTGTATCCATTTTCGTACAGTAGAAACAGGGGAGGTGAAGAATATATAAGAGAATAAAAAAGATTAAAACAATAAAGCTTTCAAGTTCGTTTTTACAAATAAGAAGACATTGACGTGAAAAAAGGCAGAAAAATGAAAAAGAAGAGAACAATAAATCTTTAGAACCACGTTACGGTCTACACCCAGAGAGTAATCTTTTTACAGGTACATTCAAAGCTAGAAGATGATTATGCCTACCTTCTAATAATGAATTTGCTAAAATTACCCTTAACTTTATAGCTCATATTATTTTTTTATAATTGTTAATGCTAAGGATGAAATGGAAATTCAAAAAAATATAATATGCTCTTACTACAACCGAAGTCAACTTTCAGTTTTGAAAAGCTAAAATGTGCCACTTGCTAACCCATGAGGCCCCACATCTTGAAAAAATTGAAAGCTATAACATATTTGCTGATGCTATCTCTCTTCTTACCGTAGAAGAAT